TGTGTCCCGTTTTATCACTGATTCACCTATGGATGAAGTTTTAACCTTGCGCAATAGGTAAGAATGTTTCTATGTGTTGTTTAAATTGACTTATGAAAAAAAAATATTTTCATATATTTAGATCTACATGATTTTGTTATTGAAATTTCAGGATTAGAGAGAGATTATATGGGCTGGATACAGATGATGTCTAATGGTTTGGGCCGATTAGAAGGATTCAAAATCGATAATCCATATATATTATTAGGTTTGTTAGACACCTTTTTTTTTGTATTTACAAGGCTGTTTTGGGATTATTAATAAATAATAATTTCTTCTAATTTGGGTTTAAATTACTCCTTATATATATAATATACATTGTTTTGGTAAATTTACTACTGGAGTATGATTATGTGCTATCGTGAGTTGATTATTTATGAAGGATTGTCATTGGATAAAAATAACATTATTCTAATAAATTGGATTATAAACAATATTAATCATTTTTAATAATGTTCTGTAAAAAAATATCGCGTGTTGGATTATTAAAAAGTATGTCAATAAGATATATAATTGATTTGATTCTAAATCTGTTTGATGTAAACGGTTTATTATGTTACACTTAAATTATATATCATCTGAGCCCAATATTTGTATACATCTTATGGGCCAAAACATTCCGTGTTGTAACCAAAATTTGACTCTTCCTTTAACAAATAAATTGTGTTAACCAATAATCTATCTAGAATATTCATCATAAGTTGCAACTTTCCAAAAATGGAGCATTTTTAGTTTAAAAAATACGTAAAATGCACTGATTCACGCGACACTTTCCATAACCGTTATTTGGGTGTTATATATATCCCCATTTCCTCATATACATTGTTAAAAATAAACAACAAAGCAATCCTTCTCCCCAACTGTTTCTTTGGCTTTATAAAAACATTATCCACATGACTACATATAACTTTGTTGATGAGTTACATGCTTGGAGACGAGATTGGAAAATCCGTGTCAAAGTTTTGAAAAGATGGAATAAACCTGATCGTCAAGGCTTACCAGGGCTGAATTTCATTTTAGTCGACAAAAATGTAAGTGTTATCTAATATGAATATATAACTATTTTTTCTATATTTATTGTTTGTTTGATCTCTTTGTAAATTTCATTGTATATAGGGTTGTAGAATTAATGCTTCATGTGGGAACCTCGCTTTTCAATATTTTTACCGTGTTGGGACCGAAGGACGATGGCTTGAATTGTCTAAATTCGGCTTGATACCATCTGAATGGAAGAATGAGGGAAGAACAACGAGACACAATTATCAGATCATTCTCACTACTGGGACAAAAGTCTCAAGTCTACGACCATTGACAATGGATCCCTTCATGAAATTTGTCCCTTTTAGTGAGATATACAGAATTCCTTATGCTCAGTTGTATCCTGTTGGTAAGATTAACTTCTAATATTCTTTTCAGTGTATTCATATATAAATTTGTACATATATAGAAAAAATGAATTCCGTTTATGATAAATATTTCTCTCATAATTGATTTGTAGATCTCATTGGAGTGATGGAAAATATTAGCGACATTGAAACAGAGAATAACCCTGACGGAGATATTATTCAGAAAATAACTTTTACCATCACAGATCTCGAGTAAGTTTATATTTTCTCTCACGATCACTATATCTTGGTAACAAAGTTTGTAACTTAAATTGTTCAAATCAAAGGGACGTGAAATTGAAATGCATCGCATATGGGGACTTTGTCGCTGATATCAAAGAAAGAACCAAAGGATTCACTGGTCCTTTTGCGGTTTCTGTCTTAACCGATTGGAGTGTAAATAAAAAAGAAGGTATGGATAATCAAACATATGTCATTATTATTTTCATTTTGTGCAATATATGTTTTATATTTGTTTTGCATGTATATTTCCTAATAATAATTTTATACGTGTAGATGAAATAATTATCCATTCACATGAAGCAATTGGTTTTTCCCGTCTTCTCCTTGATCCCACTACGGATGATGCCCTGATTTTTAAGAGAAAGTAAGTAATCTGAAAATTACAATTGGAGAGTTTTGTATATACAATAATCTTATAGTATGTATATGTCTCTTAAACCTCCAGGATTCGGGAGAGGTGGTGCACGTTTTAGACACAAGACGGAAATATAACTCATAACAATACTTAATAGAGTAGTGTTCTATTAATTTCTTTTTAAAAGTATTTATATAACTTAAAACTTGTATGTTGGATCTTATTACATGATTTATTTTAGTATTTGTATGATTTATTTCTTTGTATAAGTATTTATATAACTTAAAACTTGTGTGTTGGATCTTATTATACAATGTTTTAGTCTCAAAAATTAAAAATAACAATGTGATGTTTATGTTACAAGAATTTCAATAATCAAATTATAATAAGATTTATATAATGATTGTGTCCGCGCGACGCGGGCAGATAACTAGTTAATAATAATTACAGAATTTGTTTAACAAAAATAAAAATTCATAATATCCACTCTGCCACATGGCAAATTATTATTGGCAGCACTAGAAGAGAGAAAAAATTAATTTATGTATATACATATATTTATAATTTTATATATACATTTAAAAAAACTAACATTAATAATAATTACAGAATTATGTTTTGACAAAAATAAAAATTTATTGATATTTACAATATTATTTTTATTTTTTTTTAAAATAATTTGTATTGACATATGTGGTAAATTATATATTATAAAGTGAAAGTCGATATGTTTTATATTTAATAATTAAAATGATATAAATGTCAAAAAATTGCAAGATATACGAATATGTAAAATCAAAATTTCTATTTATAAAAAAAAATTTAAGTTATACCTACATATAATAATTCAAGATTTAATCTTCATAATAAATATCATAATCATAAAACATTGTCAAATCATCAAAACACCAGGTTGAAACGTTTCTAATATTATTTTTTGAAATATATCAAATGAAAAAGTCCGGTAATAGAGAGATGAGTATTTCAACAGAAACATATCCATTTACGTCATATACTCAATTTAAACCAGTCAATTATACGAAAACATAAATATAAATAACCAATTAACAATATATTTTCTCATTTTTCCTTCCTAACGATCCAAAGTGTAAGAAAAAACAATACAACATTATCTTAAAATTCAATTTTAATGAAAATTTCAAATATAGCCATAATTCTTACATTCTATAAAACATATTTATAAATAAATTAAAAACAGATTGTTAATTGGTTTCAATAAATAGGTTTTACATGAAACAAAGAGAAAACATTATGCAACGAAAGCTTTAAAATGTTAATATTTTTACTATGAATATTATAAAATAAATACACAAACATACACTAATATGTATCTATTAAAAATATACAAAAATGTAAATTACATAACTGAGTATAGACAATAAACCCAAGAAATGTTCATGTAAAAATGGACCATTGACAAAAGGGAATAGAATAATAAATTAAATAAAAACTGAAATGAAATAAAAAAACCAAAAAAATGTGTGATACAAGCAAGATAAAGAGGTCTAAGGATAGGGCCATAGGGGCTCATTGATGTGTGATACAAAAAAAAAAATAAAGAGTTGGAAACTGATGGAAGGAAGATGTAATGTGATTCTTAAGATTCTTATGAATATAATCGGTTTAGATGAGAATATAAATAAGTGATATGAAAGTAAGATATAACCGGATTCTTAACGTTTGTAATGATCCGTCCAAAGAGAAAAAAGATAAGATGTAAGGATATGTAAAATCTTACTCCATCCGTTTCACAAAGAGTGTCGTTTTAAGGTTTTATTTTTGTTTCACAAAGAGTGTCGTTTTATATTTTCAATGCAGAATTTTAAACAATATTCCAGTTTTGACCCTATTGATTTAATGTATTAATTAGAGAAAAAGGTTATTTAATACATTAATAAAGGGCAAAGTAGTATTTTTAATAATTTTCTTAATAAGTGTGAAAAATGTCAGAATGACACTCTTTGTGAAACGGAGGGAGTATAACCTTCTGATGGTGAGATGTAGCAACCGCAAAAGAGAGAAAGTGTTCATAGAATTAATCTCTATTTCACTAAATTTTGCATATACAAATTATGTTCAAAATTCTAATTACGACTTCAATAATAATAAAATGTCAAAAAGTAAACCAAAATTTATACATCATACTTTCAATTTTGTATTACAATATGATAAAATCAGTAACTAACAATTTTTATAGGAAAAATAGCATAAAAATAAAAAATAACCAATATTGTAACAAACTTAAAAAAAAAAACTAATAAGGTTCATATATATAAAAAAAGTCTGAGAGAAAAAGGCGAATTTTTTGGCCATCGTGACTTTCCTCCCTTTCAGTGTATGTCTCTCTTCGGAGTGTATTTTCTGGAGGTTATTGTCGATTTTTTCAGGATGGGATAACGAAATAACTTCCTTGTATTCCCTAACCATTCTTTTGCTATCCCTATATATATCATGCACCTGTCTACTGATTTTTCGCGAAGATCAGAAACAAGGAATCCTTTTCCTTTGTTTATTATAATTATGTCGGATAGAATCAGAAACAGTTATAGGACATCTCACTTGGAATTGATAATGGAATCCTCAATCTCCCTCTGGATTTGTGCGCTGAAGCGGCAGAAGAGACTCGATTTAGCCTTATTGGCAAACCAGTGAATCCCCAAAAGCAGAATCTTTGGGCAATGATGTCGGTGCTGCCTTGCCTCTGGGGAGTTGGTGACAAAGTAGTTGGAAGAATCCATCAAGATCAAAAAGTCCAATTCATCTTCTAAACTGAAGATTCTATGAAATCTTTTCTTTGACGAGGCCCCTGGTCCTTCAATGAGTGGATGTGTGTTCTGCATAAGTGGACTCTTCAACTTATCGATGCCGATCTCAAACTCATTCCCTTCTGGGTTCAAATTCGAGGTATTCCTATCCAATTTTTGACTCACTGTATGGTTCGACATATTGGAAATGTTATGGGCCATTTCCTTGAAACTGATTTTCAAGGAGATGGTGCTCTTAATGTCGAATATGTGCGTGTTCGTCTTCTTTTGAATATTGATTCGCCTCTTAGATTCCAGCGTCTGTTCCAATTTGGCAAAGATACAAGTATCCTTAAATTTCGGTATGAGAAACTTAAAGGTTTTTGCTCTGTGTGTGGCCTTATGGTACATGAAGCCGCAGAATGCCCTGCCAAAAACGCCGGCCTTGTTGATGAACCAAACGATGATGACAACGATCCACATGAGAATCACCCTCCTGGTTTTACACCTCCGAGAGACAACATTGATCAACCGCCAACCCAAGAGAAGAACAAGACTGACGAAGTTCCTCAAGAGCCTTCTGGTAATGCATCTAAGAAGAGGAAAACAGAAGCTGCGACACAATCCTCACTACTCTGCTGTGAAAGGAGACAGGCATTTTTCTTTGAAGACTATGAAGAACATGCCTCCAAGAGGAAGAGAACATAAGCGGATGTTAGAGAGATGAGGAATTGGTTCGGAAAGCTGTCTGATGAAGCAAGTTCTTCTCATCCTGCTGATGGGGATCATCAGCAAACACATGACTGAGATGGTACGGTGGGCCAGAAGCCACCGGATCCGGGATGAATACAGCCTTTTGGAACTGCTGGGTGATAACTAAGGTTTTTAAGGCCTTAATAAGGGTTATCAATCCCCTTGTCAAAGTAGTATAAGGGGTGTCAATCCATATGTGTGGTAGTTAGGCATTAGTGTATGTGATAAGTTCTTAAGTCAAGTGATCAAAGATGAGTTTTGGTGTGAACAAAGTAACAAGAAAGCATAAAACAAGGAACAAAAAAGCTATGATTAATGAACTAAGCAAGCAAACAAAACAAGATGATGGTGATTAAGCAAATGATAAAAGCTAAACCTCTAGATGTGATCATTGATTAGGGTGCTTTAGATATTGAATCATGATGCTAAGAACATAATGCAACACTTACTACTCTTTAGTCTAGGCTTCTTAATCAGATTAATTCATTTCCATGACAATAATCCCTTTGCAAATCACTTAATCAAGTCTAACAACCATTAGATATAATCAAGCAATCAGCAAGCATAATGCATCAAGCCTAATAAGTGACCAAACAATCTCTCAACCAAGAAGACTGAATCTTATACAGAAAGACATAACAAGCAATCACATGATCTCAAACATTTCAACTTAGAACTCTAATCTAGACTAATCCTCTCATGAAGGCATTAATCTCTACACTAATCCACTTTCAAACCAAATCATCATTTGTGAAATATGAATCAATGAGCATTAAGAAACAGTTCTAATATGTCATTCATGCATTTAACAAATCATTCCCATGATGAAAAAGGCATAAACTGTTAAGTTAGCTCATTCAGACATTTCATCAAACACCTTGTGGGTGGAGAAATGCCTAAGTTCTAGATCAAGCTTATAATGAGAGATCTAGCATTAAGAGCAGCTAACTAAGGAAATGAAATGAGAATCTAGACCCTAAACATCACAAATCAATCATCTAAGCACCCTAATCTACACACCTAGTAGTTTAAAAGATGACTACTCACTAATCATGAAAAACACATTTAATCTTTTGCAAGAGATGATGTTAATTATGATTAGAAGCAGAAATGAGATGATGAGATGATGAGAAACAGCTTTGGAATGATCAAATCCCTTAGATATCTCTTCATCAAACTCGTTTTTACACTAAAAAGGAAAGAGAAACAAGAGAAAACAAAGCTTAAGTCTTGGAAAAAATCCTAAAAAGCATATATAGTGTCTCTTGCAGACCGGGTCAGCCCAGGACAAACTGGGTCCTGACCCGGATTTGATGGATAGTGGTGTGGTTTGCCACGGTCAGATGATGCTTGGACAGACCGTGGCAAACTGACCGTGGCAAACTGATAGTGTCAAAGTTCTTGGACAGATTCTTCATGATCAAGGTTGCCATGGCTTGATATACACCATGTCTAGTGGCCGTGTCTCTTCTTTTCTGGGGGGTGATGAACTTCTTGGATTGCCATGGTCTAGTAGTTCTTGGTCAAGCCCCGTGGCAAGTGGTCGTGTCAAACGCCAAAGGTGTGTAAAAGTTGCCACGGTCAAGTCCCAGACCGTGGCATTCAAACCATGTCAAAACCCGAATGCTTGTAAAGTTCCTCCCAGCCAAGTGTTTGTTTGCCACGGTCAGGTGTAGACCGTGGCATGAAGATCGTTTCAATCGCCAAAGGTGTGTAAAAGTTGCCACGGTCAAGTCCCAGACCGTGGCATTCAAACCGTGTCATGTTTCACTTAGCTCGCATCATTCAGGGCTGTCTGGACCACTTCGCATTCCGGAGAGTGTAACTCATAATATACTTGTCCGAATTGAGTAATTCTGGTTGCAGAGGAGAGAGGACTCATATATCTCCAACGTTGGTGAAGGAAGCTTCGGTTCTTGAGAAGTGGAAGGCTTCCTGGAGGGCTCATCTTTCCAGTGCATTTACACGATCAGAGAGAGGCGTCTAGACTTGTGTCCATGCCGGAGACGTTATCTTCTTGCTCATAGATCCGACTTGAATGATCTTGAACGTTCTGGAAAGAGGACTCAAATGTCTCTGATTCTCATGAAGGCCCCGGAAACTGAATCGGCCTGGAAGTGCACCGTCCTTCGCATTCTTCAGAGCTCATCGGCTTGGTCCAAAACAGCAGCGAGACAGGGGTTTCTTCCGACGAGCCTAACTTTCTTCTCACGCGTCCAAATTCCATGATTCCACTTGCTATAGAACCGTGATCCAATCCTCTCCAACTTTGATGAAGCACCTGACAACTGAATCGGACCGGAAGGTTCCCCGGACGGGAGATTTCGGAAACGTGTCTGCACCCGGAGATTTTGGCCGAGAGATTCAATAGCCGGTACGCGTTTAGGCCGATAAGGTCTACCCGCGGTACATGAAAATGGCCGATAAAAACCTTCCTGGTACGAGAGAATAGCCGAGAACCTCCAAAAACCCAATTTCACCAGTTTTCAAGCTTTGATCACCATTCCACTTCCTGGATTCAGCTTTTCAGCTCCAAATAGCTCCAAATACACCTGATAAACACTCAAAACATGCAAAGACTCATTGGGACCTAATGCATCTCCTAAGTTCTAAAACAAACCCTAAGGACCTAAAATGCATGAAATAAAACATGATTTGGAATGAAATATGCAACCTAAATGATGCAAATTATGGACATATCAACTCCCCCACACTTGTCCTTTGCTTGTCCTCAAGCAGAAAGAACAAATGAGAGAGAGAGGTTGAATGCATTGCGAGTTCATATTTCCTTTTTGAGAGAAGTGATCACAATGAGAATTCAAGTTCATGCTCAATTATGCAATGCAAAGCCATACTCAGATATATATATCAACTCAACAAGGAATCTCCACAAGTTCTTCTCTCTCTCAACTCTTTCACATTCATTAAGCTTTTTACCCAGTGGATCAAATGATGCATTGTTTAAACAAACATAGTTTGGCTAGGGTGAGGTTGTGAGACTAAAATGATCTCATCAATGCCTGAGTTGGTTCAATGCAGCAAAAGGATCTCTCTATGAATGACCAACTTTGGCAGAATGCTACAGGTAAAAGGCAACCTATGCATACAAGGGCAAGGACTCATCCCACCCCACACTCTACTCAAAGTTTCCTCACTTGCTTACTTTTCACACTCATTCTTCTCTCACTAGGGGATTCTCTTTTCCTTTTCATACACAAGTCTTGGAGTTCAAACTTTCCATAGCTCTTTTTCACTTTCTTTTGTAACCTCTAACCTCTTTTTTTCTTTCTTTTTTTTAAACATTTGAGCTCTTTGGCTTCTTTTCTTTTCACTTAGAGGCTAGACTCTTTCTTTTCAAAACACTAGAGCTCACTTTATTTGACTCAAAACTCCAAGACTGATTTCTTTTCTTTTTCTATCCCCTAGTTCTCACCATTCTCCTTTTATTTCCACTCATCTCTCCTTTTTCCACTCACTAACAAGTATTCCCCCACACTTAGTTCTTGCCAAATCTCTCAGCTCCTTGATGATGGAACTTAGCACTCAATGAGACTTGCCCTTGTCGCCCTAAACCTAACACTTTCTGCTAAGTTTGGTCTAAGGTGGCCTCTCAATCACACACAAACAATTGGCTTGAAAGAAGGATGGGTTCAGGGTGAGGAAAACTGATCTATTATGCAGATTCAGCTATTTGAGCTAAGGAAGAGGATGGTAAAAACAGGATTCTAGCTAAAATATGTATATTGGTATCCACAAGCTTATTCAAACAATGCATCAAATGATAATTTCAAGTCAAGTTCAGGGTTTTCACTTGTTAGAGTTGAGTTCAATTCAAACTTGCTTCTCAGATTCAAATCATTTCAAGCCTTGCAAGGACATAAATCATTTCACAAGCATATTTGGTCCAAATTTTCAAAGTCATGTACTCTCAAGGAAAAACTATCATTACTCCCAGCAAGATGCAACCTATATGATGCAAACTAGACTCAATCCTAAAAAATGTGAATGCAACTACATGATCATTTTTTTTGTGAAAATTGTTTTTTTTTTTTTTGATTTTTCAATTTTTTTGGTTTTTATATGCAGACTCAAGATGCAAATCAAAATAAGAACAAGAGAAAACATGATTAGTAAACACAAGACCCCTCCCCCACACTTAAATAACACAGTCCCTTGTGTTATAAAAGCATGAGAAAGAGGAGAAATCAAACATGAAATGCAAAAGATAAAGAAAAATGCTAAATGCTCATTTAAAAGTGTTTGGAGTGATACCTGGTGTGGTTCTTATGCAAAAGGGGAGTGAGTATCTGCACCAGATGAGGCCAGACATCACTGGAGATGGGTTTGGCTTGGCCTGAACTCCCTTGTGCGGCATGGACTTGTCTTGGACCAACTCGCACACCCAAGTAGCACACCAAGCGGCTCACCAGTTTTCATTCCTTAAGTCCTTCCTCAGCTTGTTCACAGACTCCTTTTCAATTTGTCCTTGGACCACAGCATTCCTTAGTCACCTTAGACCGGAAAACACTTCACAAAACCCATCAAAATATCCTAAAACATGAAAAAGAAGAGAAAAGATTAAGAAGATTATATACAAGGATAAGCTTGGGGTGTCTCCCAAGAGCACTTTGTTTAAAGTCACTAAGTTTGACTTTGAAAAACCTGTTTTTAGCTGGGGTGAGGTTGAGCACTGATGCTTTTCAGCACTTCAATGGTCCTGAGCAAGAAAGCTGAGTTGGTTTGCTGCCTTTGGGGACCATTAGACCCTTGTCCTTGAGATCCCATCTTGAGACCTTTGTCCACCAGCTCTTGAATACCATCTGGGTCTTTATCAAAGATGGCCTTTGTGAGACATGCCCTCACTTCAGCAAACAGACCTGGTTTCCCATTGCAATCCAGCTTATACTTCAGACATCCATCATCACAACCCAAGGAGTGAGATCAAAGTCTTGGGA